ACTGATATACCAAGTTCTAGTTCATGCAGTTGTGCCTGGCTTGGGTTAGGCTACTGTGCCCAGCTCCTTACTATTGTTTCCCTTGGAGGTGGGCCTACTGTACATCTCTGGTAAGATGATCTGTTCCTGGATTAGCTGTGTGATTTTGACCCTAGTCTCACTGTAGGGACTTTAGCTGCAGGGTTCTACCTCAAGCCTGTATGCTAGGTCTGGGCTGGGTCTGGAGGGGTATGAGGAGCGGGAGCAAGAGAGCGCAGAAGCTCTCCCACACACTCACAAGTGTTGTGTTTTGGTGGATCTTCAGTACTCCCAAGAGTGTGGCAGAAGTTCTTACTCAGAGGGCAGGCTGCCCTGGGTCTGGCCAGGTGGGGGGAGGTCTGGAGAATGCGGGAAAATGCCTCTCACGCGGTGGGCCTGGGCTTGGAGCAGCGGGTGGGTGCAGGACAGAGCAAAAGCTCTCCCCCACACTCGCAGGGCCTGGGGTTGGTCGGATATATCCGGGGACCAGTTTTGGAGGGACCCAGGCATCGTTCTTGGCTCACAGGAGCATGAAGTCGCTCTGTGAGCACATGCACTACACCTTTTCCTGTCTTCCCCAGCCTGGCAAGATGACTCTGGCTCCCTCTGCCAGGCCTGCTCCGAGAGGCTGGACCCAGCTGTTGGCCTCTTCCACATGCCAACCTCCCAGGAGGGACTCACAGGCTACCACCCTGTCACCTGCTGCACCTCGGGACACATGGCCACGACGACTGCGCCACTCCATTTTCCAGCCTGTGGAGCTCACCTCCTTGTGAGGTAGCCTACTGCCCTTCTACATTGTCCCACTTGGCTGTCTCATGAAGGACAAAAAAGGGACTTCCCAAAGTGGGCTATTGTAAGAGCCTCAGGGGATAGGATTCACACATGTACTGTCAGCAGTGCTGTCCCCTATTTTTCAGTTCATCCGCTTACAGGACAAACACTGCACTGAGCAACTGTCCCCACTGTAATTCTAGGCCCACTCTGAGGAATCCATACCCACAGTCACCCCCTAGTCCCCAGCCCTCCCAACCCTTAATGACCACTAATCCTGGTCTGCCTCTGTGTGTCCTGACATTTTATAGACAGGCACTCCTCGGCTTTGCATGGGTTTGCATCAAAGCCATTGTGTGTTGAAAATATCACATCAACAATCTGCTTAATGCAAGGGCTGGTTGAAAAATACAGTGAATGTTTCATTTCAAAAGTGATCACAGAAGCAGCACCATAATGAATCCCCTCAAAACTGTCCCACAGCCTGAAACTCACTTCTCCCGTTGTCCTAGCCAACTTCTGCAGCAGTTCCGGATGTCCTCTTTTTTCAGGGTCTTTATGCGGTGTGATTTTTTTTTTTTAAATGGTGTGAAGGCCGCCGGCAAGTGCCAGCCAATGGGAAGGCAGCTTGCGAGGCAGGAGGATGCCCTGTCCTCATCCAGCTTCAGCACTGGAGCTGCCGCCATGTCTCTTTTGGATCCTCTCCAAAGTCAGAATGACCATAGCAGGTGGACATTTTGAATGGGTTTAGGGTCTCAAGGCAGCCATAAGGGCGCAGCTAAAGACATTCCCGAGGGACTCAGAGCTGCTGCAGAAAGTGGCAAGAATGGTGCACAAAGTGAGCAGGAGTGTTCTGAAGGGAACTCAGCAGCGTGACTTTTACTGTAATATAATGTTTAAAATTCAAACGCACACTGGCCTTTTCAGTCATGCCTCAGGCACCTAATGTTCGGGTCATCAGCTCAGTACCATGCACTCTGTAGTGTGCCCGCTGCCCCCCTGGAAAAGATGCCTGTTGGCACTGCCCAATCCCCCGAGGGAGAATCTGCGCGCCCTTGGCTAGGGGAAAGATCAACAGGGGAAGCTCTACTGAACCCACATCCCTTTCCCACCATGGTGAATGGGAAACACGGTTAAGGGGAACCATCTGAGGCTGGGGGCCATCTGTACGTGGAACCACAGATTCTGTGGCCCTCGTGGCCCGATGTGTTAGCTCAGCACACATTTTCTTTTCCTTTTTCTTTTTTTCTTTTCTTTTTTTTGCGGAACTGGGAAATGAACTCAGGCCCTTGCACTTGCCAGGGAAGCACTTATTCCACTGAGCCATCTCTCCAGCCCTCAGCACACATTTTCAAGGGACAGCCAAGCTGCGCAGGGCCAGTACTGCCTTTCTTTTTATTGGCAGCCAGCTCTCCAGGGGCGAATGACACTGGGCTGTCCCCACCCTTTCGCCTCTCTGAGGGACGCTGCTGTGCACCCTGCATGCCATTTTACACGAACATATCTTTTCATACTACTGCTGACAGCAAGGTGGTCTCTAAAGGCAACAGTATTGTAGGTTTAAAACAGACTCTGTCTCCTGCAGAGGCTTGTCTGGAGCAGGCCCAGCTCCTACGACCACTTGGCATGTTTTAAAGTCAAGGATTAGTTTAAGTGAACGATGCTTCCTCAAGCTCTGGCCTGGGGAAGTTTTGGCAGCTGCGTGTTTTCACGGGGGCGACTTATTGATTACTGTGGAAGAAGACAGGAAGCTTCCTCAGCCACACACCGGCAGGGGTGCAGTGGGCACAGCAAAGAGGGGACATCTACGCGTGGAGTATTCTCATCCACAGGAGTGGACACTCCAACCTGAGACACACACCAATTGCTAACAGTGAAAACGAAAGAGAGGCGAGGAGGGCCGTGGAGAGGCGGAGAGGATAAGAAGGAAGCGAGCCCACCCCCGCGGAGCCGGGGCCCATCACTCACGCGTGCGACATGACTGGCTACTTTCCCTCCTTGCCTCGCCCGCCGGGAATCTCTGCCTTTGCCCTCCAAAGGCCGGCCAGTTGTGAAGGTGAGGAGCCACCGGCGGCGCCCAGAGGTTCAGAGGTTGCCTGTTCTTCGGAGGGACCCACAGGGACCAGGGACGGCTGAGGCGCCTCACAGCCGGGACGCGAAAGCACTGAGTGGAGTTAGCTCGCTGGAGCGCTGGAGCTCCGCAGCAGGAGTCTCACCCTGGTGAGGCGGCCCTGGCAACAGGACGCTGCGCCTGCGTAGTGCCGCTGCGAGGGCCTAGCGCCAGCCCTGCGTTGCGCGTCTGCGCGCTAACCCTTGTTGCCATGGCAACCGCGGGAGGGACTCGGAGTGGGTGCAGAGAGCGCTTGGCAGGTGCGCGGCCCGGTCCCCCGGCTTCCCAGGCGTCGTGGGGTGAGCGGCTCATTCACCCGCAACGCAGGTCCCCGGACGCGCTCCCTACTGCTTGGACCGCAGCACCCTGAGCTCTGCTAGTTTTTCTTCATCTTTAGAGATGGTGAGATTCATTTGCAAACCTCAGGCTCTGCAGTTTCCTAAGGAACTAAACAGTGAGGAGCGTGATGGACATCGCATAAGAACGACAGATTGCTTGGGCACCACGGACTCGCTCCTCCATTGCTGACCAAACAGCGCACACCCAGACCTGGAGGAATCGCCTGAGAAATCCCGAGGGACCTCGCACCACAAACCTGCAAAGCTGTGCTCAGTGCAGCCGCTGCAGTGGAGACCGGCATCGAGGCTCAGCCCCACGCCCCGGGAGCCTCCTGGGGAAGAAAACAGAAACAGCGCACCCAAAGCCAAGACAGTGGCGAAGGGGAAGGAAAAGAAGGGGTGGGCAAAGCACTGGAGGAATCGAAGAAATGAAAGCAGACCTTCTTTGCATGTGTTTCGTGTGACAGGATAAGCTAACCTGAACACCCACTGAATACACAAGGACTGCAGGGACTATAGCGCAACCCAGTGAGAGGGGGAAAGACGACACGGCTAAGGGAGTCGGATGAAAGTCAGAAATAGTCTAGTACAGAAGCCGCCTTGACTCCCATACGAGCTGCGGAAGAAAGAGGGGCATGCTTCGCAGCTACAAGAGCCGGTGTTCCTGCATAAGAGAACTCACTATTAGATTTTTTTCAGCCCCCTGTTTCTAAAATGAAGGGAACTAATTTGCATACCAGCAATTCCAAGCTCCAGGAACAAATGGTATGGAGCAACGCAAACCACGGTGTCCTGGATACATGATGGGACTTCCTGGAGAATCTGCCTCGGGTTGGACATCTCCGGGGTAGCTTTTAATATCAGAAAGAAGGAAGCAATATTTGCAGAATTCTTGGGAGACAGTGAAGCCCGAGAATACTTCTAATTACTGAACTTAATAGTCCCCAGTTCGGAAGACTCCAGAAGCTCATGTATAATTAGCATGTTACAGTGCAAATAATAGAAAATGCCACGTCCAGTGTCTTAACCAATAAGAGGACTCTGACCTGTAGGCTCTGAGGCTACTGGCAGGCCATTTCAGCTGACGAGCATAGTGGCTTGGTGATGGCACCCTGGGCGATCAGGTGGGCCTGGTCTGTTCATCTTTCAGACTTCCTCAGTGGTGGCATTGGGTGACTCTCTCTGTGGTCATAAAGTGCCCGTGGCAGCTTTAGGCTTTCTGTTCATATGTTGTAACATCTGGAGGTCCAAGGAGGACGGGCTGGGGTTTGCCTGCAGTAGGAGACAAAGAGGCCGATGAAAGAGGCCAGTCAGGACTTGGCCAGCGCGGAGCTGCTCCCCACGGTTGTGTAGGCAGCACGCGATAGTGTGCCCAAGCCAATGAGCTCATCCAAAAAACAAGTCACCTGTGGATGGAATCTAGACAGTGACAAAACACATGTCATTTTTGGTGTGCTGTCTCCAGACTGGGCCACCTCGGGCAGTGAAAACTGGATTTCATTGCCTTGTAGCTTGGGCTGGCCTCAGACTCTGGTAACCTCCTGCTTCAGCTTCCCGAATGCTGGGCTCACTGGCAAGCACCACCACACCAACTGCAAGATCTGTGCTGTGAAAAGGAAAGCAGGATCTCAAGGACTTAACTAATCAAGAGAGGGAAAGGAGAAGAGCTAGGAAACATGACAATGTCAAGCCATACAGTTGTATGTAGAAGATGAGCAAGGCAATGATCCTGAGAAG